TACTTTTTTTTCTTAATAAAAGTATTTTCCCATGATGTCTTACTTATTAAGGTTTTAACGAGATATGATACAATCGTCGTTCAAGTGGAAGTGTAATGAAATATTATTTAGTGACTAAGATTTGGATTCCCCATATTCTCTCATATCTCTCCATCATTAGTGAGCATTATGACAAACATTATTATTTGTTTTATAAGTATAGTTATGCACCATTATAAAATATATTCATAACATAACACACATTTCATCTTCTTTTGTAAGTATAAATAATGAGGAATATGTATTCTAAATATTGATTGTTTTTACCATAAGTAATGGAATAAACTTCTTTACAATTTCAATTCCTACTTTATTTTTTAACTTAACTTCAAATCTCATAATAAAATATTATATAAAAATGTAACTAATTTCATTTTTTTCTTTATTTATTATTTTCTATTTACATATGTTATATAAAGTGTTAGAGCTCATATTTCAATTTCAAACTTTTAGTATAAGTTTTAACTTTTTTACAAAATTGGATTACACTTTCAATTTTGTTACAACATGGTCCATTTTTTTTTTTATAAATTCATCTGGAAATTAATTATTATTTTTTACAAATTTTCCTTATATTTTTCTAAGACTTGTTTTACAAATATTTTAACTTCTTTTTTAATTTTTACAACCTCTTACAATTTTACATTTTTTTATAGAATTTTCTATTTTTATTTTACAATTGTTTATAAAGTTATTTTAAATTTTTTTTACAACATTAGAATTACTTACGTTAAAAAAAGATGTAAAAGAAGATAAGTAAAAAAGTTATATGAAACTGTACAATTTTTTTTGTAAAGTTTTAAAACAAGTTTAAAATGTTATAAATAATTTCTATAAAAAATGTTTAAGAAAATAAACAAAAAGTTGTAAAAAAGTTTTTAAAAACTTGTAAAGAAAGTTAAAAACCCTAAAAAAAACTGATTAAGGGTTTAATTTATAGAAAAAATAGATCAAATTTATAATAAATTTAAAACTTGATCCAAAAGTATACCTTTGAAATACTCCCTCCGTCCCAATATTATTGTCCACAGACAAAAAACGCACATATTAAGAAAAGTATTAATTACCACTAACTTTATTTAATAAAATGACAATTTTGTCATTACTTTGTATTTAATGTTTCATTAAATGCTTAGTTGGTTAAGTAATAATGAGGGGGTATTTTGGTAAAAATGTTATTTATTTTTATAAGTGAACTATTATTTTGGGACAAACCAAAAAAGAAAGATGAATTATAATTTTGGGACGGATGGAGTATGATCTTGTGGAAATAAAAATAAAACAAATATTGTTATATGATATTGTGGGAAGAAAAAAAACAAATATTGCTATTTTTATATGAAATATTTTTGGTTTGTTGGCCACTAAAAATTTGATAAAAATAGTTATTTCCTATGGCTATTTCACAAAAAATGCTCCATTTAATTTCTCCGCTACAATTAAACACAACTTTTATTGATGTTGTAATGCTATGTTCCATTTACAGCCCGATTATAACGGCTTCCAAAATGATGGATTAAATGAAGTCGTGATTCGCTTAAAGAATTAGCTACTTTTCAGGTCTACATCCTCCTGTTTTCCACTGTCGGATCATCATCCGACGGTGGAGCATCAAAGAAACATAATATCATGCTTAACGTTTTCAAATATGTTAAAGTGGGAACAAAATCACTACCAGTCAACACTCCGTCAGCTTTCCCTACAACAATTCACATATTCCCACAAACACTCTACACTCTACACACACTCACACACACACACTCTCTCTCTCTCTCTCTCTCTCTCTTTCTCTAAAACCTCTTTCTCTCTCCACCAAGCTTCCATCCATGGCGGTTTCAGTTTCAGTTTCATCCCTTTTCATATCTCCAATCTTCTTCTTCTTTTTTACTTTAGCCATTTCAACAGATGTAGACTTGCTTCTCAAAAGAATCAAACCGTCAATCCAAGGAGAAACGGAGAATTTGTTGTTGAATTCGTGGAATACTTCCGTTCCGCTCTGTCAATGGCGAGGACTGAAATGGGTTTTCACTGATGGATCTCCATTAACATGTACAGATATCTCATCACCTCAATGGTCGAATATTTCGCTCTCGAAAGACCCATCTCTTCATCTCCGTTCCCTTCAACTACCTTCAGCGAACCTCTCCGGCACACTTCCGCCGGAGCTTGGAGAACTTTCGACTCTTCAGAGTCTGTACCTGTCCGTCAACTCCATTTCGGGTTCCATCCCTCTTGAAATAGGGTACAGTTCTTCATTATCAGACATTGATCTAGGCAATAATTTGTTAACCGGGTCGGTTCCTGCGTCCATCTGGAACCTCTGTGATCGACTCATTTCTCTTCGGCTTCATGGTAATTTATTATCCGGGTCAATCCCAGAACCCGCATTACCGAATGCCACTTGCAGCACTTTACTGTATTTGGATGTTGGGCAGAATAAATTTTCAGGAATTTTTCCAGGATTTATACCTGGGTTTAAAGGGCTTCGAGAGCTTGATCTTAGCAGTAATAATTTTTCTGGTAAAATCCCAGATGAGTTAGCTATTTTAAGTTTAGAGAAGTTGAATCTCTCCTACAATAATTTCTCTGGGGTTTTGCCTAATTTTGGTCAATTAAAATTTGGGGTGGATTCATTCGAAGGGAACGATGCTAACTTATGTGGTCCGCCATTAAAGAGATGTAAACAGACCTCTGGAGGTTTAAGTTCTGGTGCAGTTGCTGGACTTGTGATTGGTTTAATGACTGGGATGGTTGTTTTTGCTTCACTGTTGATTGGGTATTCACAGGGGAGAAAAAAGAAGAGTTTCGATGAAGAAGATGAAGAATACGATGATGGTGAAGATGATGAAAATGGCGATGGTAGTGGCGAAGGTAAATTGATTTTATTTCAGGGTGGTGAGCATTTGACATTGGAAGATGTATTGAATGCTACTGGTCAAGTTATGGAGAAGACAAGTTATGGCACGATCTACAAGGCAAAATTAGCAGATGGTGGGACGATTGCTTTGAGGTTATTGAGGGAAGGGAGTTGTAAAGATGGCGGTTTGTGTTTGCCTGCGATTAAGCAGTTGGGAAGAATCAGGCATGATAATTTGATTCCCTTGAGAGCTTTTTATCAAGGAAAGAGAGGGGAGAAGTTATTGATTTATGATTATCTTTCAAACAGGACTCTTCATGAGCTCTTACATGGTAAGCATATCCTAACTCTTACAAATTTAATATGTTTGTTATTTAGATCATTCATGATATAACTAGTTATCGTTCAATAATGTCCTTTATGATGCCTATATAGGGTGATAATTGCATAAATCATGCACGATAATATTTAAATGCTAAGTAGTGTGACTATACATTATATTTTAACAATGTGTGTGTATCAGGTGATAGCTACTTCAATTATGTGTATGTAGTATAATGTTAGTACATATTGCTCTTATTGGTAACAAAATGTAAGTAGATTGCTATTATTGGTAAAGAAATGTAAGTATGTTACTGTTTTCTCCAGAATCACGGCCTGGGAAGCCGGTGTTGAACTGGGCTCGGAGACACAAGATTGCGCTAGCAATAGCCAAAGGGCTCGCACATCTGCACTCGACCATCGAGACACCCGTTACACATGGCAACGTGCGGTCAAGAAATGTATTGGTGGATGATTTTTTCGTGGCTCGGCTCACCGATTTTGGGCTCCACAAGCTCATGGTCCCGGCTGTAGCCGATGAAATCATCGCATCGGCTAAAAGCGATGGCTACAAGGCTCCGGAGCTTCAAAAGATGAAAAATTGCAATTCAAGAACGGATGTTTATGCTTTTGGGATTTTGTTGTTGGAGATTTTGTTGGGGAAGAAGCCCGGGAAGAGTGGCGGGCGGGATGGGTTTGTTGATTTGCCGGCGGTGGTGAAGGTGGCGGTTTTGGAGGAGACAACAATGGAGGTTTTTGATATTGAGGTTTTGAAAGGGATCAGGAGTCCAATGGAAGATGGTGTGGTTCAGGCGTTGAAGTTAGCCATGGGGTGTTGTGCACCGGTTGCATCGGTTAGACCATCCATGGATGAAGTGGTGAAGCAGCTTGAGGAGAATAGACCGAGAAACCGCTCGGCTTTGTATAGTCCGGCTGAAACCAGAAGCGAAATTGGTACACCTTTTTGATATGTTTATGGGTTCGATGGATGTAAGCAGTCTGATTGCAAAACGTGATAACAAAACGTGATAAGATTATTTAAACAAAGATGGTTTTTGGCGTATTGGTGCAAAACGTGATAAGATTATTTAAACAAAGATGGTTTTTGGCGTATTGGTGCACTGGGGTTTTTGTTTTATTAGATAGCTTTAAGTTTAGTTTATTTGATATTTGCGATTGTTGTATGCATCAAGAATGTAGTAATACTTGGTTAAAAGGAGTAGTTTAATGATTTGTATTATTAAAGAAATTTAAAATGACTGTAAGAAGACTTTCTTCGCCCTGGTGACCAGGGTTATGATAGTCTTTTTTTAGTCTTTGCCCGATTGTATTCTCGAAAAATGGGTTTTATTGTAATTTGCACCGGACATATTTATCTCGTAGAATTTTATTAAATGGATGGAATATAAGTTAACTTGTGTTTGCTTATGACTTCATAGATTAATGAACATAGAGAAAGATTTTTTATTTTAAGAAATAAATTTTAAATGTTTAGCGGCGTGTTGTCCGTTTATAATTAAATTAATGAAAAAAAAGGAAAAAAAGAAAAGGAAAAGAAAAACTGATAATAATTAAACCAATTCCAATTTAAATATGGGCCGATTGTATGTCCCGAACTGGAAACGTGGCCCACTAATTTGGGTGCTTCGTACCGGTTCACCACAGCCCACACAAGTCACCAACCACCTGAGCCTCTTTGTTAGGCTACCGAACCCTAGTTAGGCTACCCTGCACCACCCACCCGCACCCACGTACTCAAAGACGACGACCACCACTGATCGCGATGGGATCCGACGAGGAAGATCATATCACCGCCGTGTACGGCGAAGAAGATCTCGACGAGGAAGATGATGACGAAAGCGAAGAAGAAGACCATACTTTACAGAATCAACACGTTGACGAGGACGATGTTGACATGATCGACGATGAAGAGGATGACGAAGAAGAAGACGATTCTATGTCGTCAGCTGCCGGCGAAGTCACGATCGCTGTCGCTGGTATTCCGAGCGTCCCCACAACTGTTGACGCTACTCCTACAACAGCTACAACTACCACGACTTCGATTGTACGATCGGACGCCATTGTGGAAGTGAAAAAGCCTATGCCTTTAGACGATTCCCGACGGTTGTTTCAGCGTCTATGGACCGATGAGGATGAAATTGAGCTCTTGCAGGGGTTCCTTGATTACACCACGCAACGAGGGACTAATAATTCGTCTCACCACCATCACGATACGGCGGCATTTTATGATCAGATCAAAGGTAAATTGCAGCTGGATTTCAACAAAAATCAATTGGTTGAGAAGCTTAGAAGATTGAAAAAGAAGTATCGGAATGTCCTCGGTAAGATCAGTATCGGCAAAGAGTACGTATTCAAAAGCCCTCACGACCAGGCTACTTTTGACCTGTCGTGCAAGATCTGGAATGGGGCCGCAGCTACTCCCGTCTCCATCCCCGCCACTGCTGATGGTGGAGGAATTGACGATGATGAACCTCATAATCCTAACCTCATATTCAATTTGAATGAGAATAATGCTAACGACATTGTTGATCCAAATAGCTCTGAGAAGAAGGTGCCAAGACCAAGAAAGCGATCAAAGTCTACTGCAGTTAAAATTGAAGAAAATTCCAATCAGCAGCAACATTATGGCCAACCTGTGGGCGTGGGAGCTTCAAATCCTCAGAATCCTGCAGTCTCAAATCTGGTTGAAGAAACCGTGAAGAGTTGTTTATTGCCATTGTTCAAGGAATTGGTTAACAATTCTCCTAATGGGGCTTGTGCAAGTTCAAGGGGGATCGGATTAGGAGGGATGAACATGAATAATTTTGGTGGGTCAATGAATTTCCCCATTGGGGATATGACTGATGACAAATGGAGGAAGCAACATATATTAGAATTGGAGGTTTATTCAAAGAGATTAGAATTGATGCAGGACCAAATAAAGTCAAGGTTGGAGGAGCTTAGGTCAATGGGGAGTTCATGAGAGTCTGAACCTTTTAAATACCTACCAGTGAGTGCTTTTTAGAGTTCGTATTTATTTTCTTGTTTTTAAGTTAATTAGTTTCATGGTCATATAAAGAGGGTGCCAACTCAAGTCGGCTATTCTTATATATGTTTAGTGTCTATCTTCTTTCCTTATAATCTTTGTTGTTAAATAATGTTAATTTAAATGTTTAGCCTTTTAGTTCTTGTGTTATGAAATCAATGGAAAACAACAAAGTAAAGGAGATTGAACACATAGTTAGCATGAGAAAACCTTCTAAACTGTTTAGGGGCATATGTGACCTAAGTCAACTGAACACTGACATTGATCTTTTACAATTACAGTCATGTTTTTGGATCAGAACTCATGTGTTTTAATTATGTGAAAAAAGACCTGAAATGGTCACTACCCAAATTTTCAGTAGCAATTATCCAATGTACTGCTGTAAAAGTAAAACACATGTTTTTCATATACCATTTTATAAGTGATTGTGTGCGTATACAGTCACACAATAACTTAAATATATATTATGAAGTCAAAGTGCTAGAAAAAACCATGAAAAACAAAGAATTTATGTTCTTTGTCACTTTCCCAAAGTGTCCAACATGTATGCCAATTGACATTGTACTATATGTAACATGATAAAATGAAATGTCTCAAATTATTCTCCAAAAAGCAAACATGTTTCCTCATAACACTATCTCTAACTACATATTTGTTTCCCCCAAAAAGCCACCATATATGGCATTTCCTCTCATTCCTTATTCCAAGAAAACTGAAATCCCAAAACTTGCCAAAAGTGGAAAAGATCTAAAAAAAGCTTCTTCGTTTTTTGCCCTGTTCTCTTTCTACAACATAAAATCAATCATCACATCATCTTCTTAGTTCTTTCCTATCTAGGAAACTTACACTCATTCATATCATAAATGGAGTGAAAGATCAAGCTTTTGACCATCTTTATCCTTATTACTCTCATTCATCACAAACATCTTTTCTGGTGAATTCAAGAAACTTTGCTGATGTTCATCTTCTTGATCAAACTGATAATACGGATTCTGATTAATGTAGTTGGCTCTGTAGTACATAAGATTATCAGATCCAAACTGTTGACTTTGAAACTGACAAATATTAGCTGCATGAGCAGTAATATAAAGAGATGGATTAAGAATCCCAATCTGATTTGAGGGAGCAAATAGTAATGGAGGTTGTGGAAGCAAAGAAGCAGAGTAATTGCATTGGACATTAGCTGCCCTTTTAGCCTTTCTTGCTGCTGTTCTCTCTTTCTTGTGAGCATTTTGATGCCCCCCTAAAGCTTGAGAACTGTAAAACTTTCTTGAACAAAATTGACATGGAAATGACTTGATAGTACTTTTAAGTTCTCCATTATTCGATTCAACATTTCCACCTTCCATATTCTTTCACCTGTTGAAATCAAAAAAATCAAAAAATCAAAAAAGAAAAACATGGGTTATGCAGAATTCAGTATTTCAAGCAAAACCCATAAAATAAAAGGAATAAAAGATTTGACCTTGATGAACAAAGAAGTGTGAATGTGATGAATGGAACCAAAAGGTAACAGTTTAGAAGATGAAGAAGAAAGAGTTCAGAAAGTAGTTTGTTTATGGTGATTGGAAAATGTGAAGGTGAAGTGTTAATGTATATAGTCAGAAAGAGATGGAGTAGCAGAGAGAAAGAGGGGGTGTATTGTATGGGCTTGGGAACAGAAGAGATAAGAGAGGGATAGGTGAGTAAGTGTGCACCAATACGTTTCTGCATGCTGCAACCTAAACATTTATATATATATATATATATATATATATATATATATATATATATATATATATATATATATATATATATATATATATATATATATAAATATATACAAGAGAGAGAGAGAGAGAGAGAGAGGAGAGAGAGGATTGGGAAATGGAATCTAATGTCTTCCTTCTTTATTCACTAAAAAGTTTCTGACAGTTTATGGGGTTTAATGGGCACTTGGGCTTTTCTTTTGCAGGCGTTTTTACACTTCATTGTTTCACTTGTGTTGTTGCCTGCAACTGCAAATTGCAATCTCTCTGTGTAAAATTGTCCAGATATAATTAAACAAATCTCTCAAAATTTGAGAACCAAATCTTGAAACTTTACTCACTTGTCGTAATCTTTATCATTACCCTTTATTATGTAAATCAGAATATATATTTTGTAATAATCAGAAATGGCCAAAATCATAATCTTTATGCAAATTTTCATACAAGGATGTATTTCTCTTTCCTACGTTTGGTTTTCAAGAGGCAAAATGGATACAATAACACAATAATTAAATTTTAAGTATGTTTGTTGATAATTAATTTTGTAAATATGGTTCAATTATTTTACATCAATAAAAAATGAAAATAAATATAATGTGCGAGTGACTATTTATTATTTGTAATATAAAGAGATACTTTATTATTTTAAGTCTGTTCAAGGCCCACCTGTGATTGTATGCAGTATGCACGACACTACATGCGGACCATTCCATATGGAGTTTTATTGCAACATAACAATTATGATTACACTGTTTCTGATCCTATTAATTTTGTTATTTTAAAAATATTTTTGTATATTTAATTATTGGTTTGATTTTTTTTTTAATAGATTATGTATGGCTGATTTTATACGATGTGTTTAAGTTATGGGAGATGAGATGAGATGAGTCTGCAAAACGACACCTACCCCACTGGGGTTTCATGCAACTGGTTCCCCAACTTTTATTCAATCTATTGGCTCCCTGCCCTGTTCTGCCGCCCCCTTCATTTCCTGTTCTCATGCAATGCAATTGCTTCCCTTACTTTTTATCCCCCATCTCCCTCATTTATCTTTATCTTTATCATAAATAAACATAAAAAACATATCATGTTTTCAGCAACTTCATTTTATAAAACAAGTTGTACATTTATTTTTTCTTCTGCTATGGGTTGATTCTATTGTGTAGTTAAATCTCAGTTATTTCGTTTGAAGGGTTTTCAAGGATTAAATGATTGGCAGTACAACAAAGTATTATTTGGTTGTCATCTTAGGTTACCAATTATGTTTTTTTTCTTTTTTTTGCTAAATACTAGTAGATGATTACACTTAATGTTATGTACTAATCTAGTTGCTTGATGACGGAAAAATTCAATCTATGGTCACTCTATGTTGAGTAGGGGTACACATGGGCGGAGCCACATGAGAGCCAGGGTGCCCCAGGCCCACCCTCAAATTCTCAAATTTTTTTTTATATTGTTAATTATTTATTATATATAATTTTGTGCAAGTATTAGCATAACATTTCGTTAGCTCAACTGGTGGAGGTGTGCAAGTATTAGCATAACATTAAGATACCTAGGTTTGAATCTATTTGTCCGCAAATTTTTAAACATAAAGCATTTAATTCCCCTTTATTTACATCATAACTCCAACTTACAGTTTTACCCATTTATTTATTCTTTCATTTTCACAATTTAACCCCTCTTTTAATTCTTTAACAAATCAGTTTAAGAAATTTATATATTCTACCCCTCAATTTTTATAAAATTTTATTTTACTTATTTTAATTAATTTAGTTACTTTTTAAGTTTTCCAACTCATTCCTTTAAATTTATTTTGTTTATAAAATAAAAAGTTGTATTTAAAGGGGCCCAATTTTAGTTTTAGCACAGGGTCTTCAAAATCCACGACTCTCTCTCTCTCTCTCTCTCTCTCTATATATATATATATATATATATATATATATATATATATATATATATATATATATATATATATATGTGTGTGTGTGTGTGTGTGTGTGTTCGCGCGTGCGCGTGCGAGCTCGTTTTCTAACTAATTTACGAGGAACACCCTAAAAAAAATTTCTAGCTTCGCCCCTGGGGGTACACGTAATGAATTCTGAAACTGATTCAGACTAGCTTTGAAAACGGTTTAGGTATATGGTCAACAATGGTTAACTTGGTTTGGGTTTCGTTTTGTAGCACAAATTTTATTACGATTAAGTTGGTTGATAAATCTCCAGCGCTATTCGGATGTCATTGCTTGCAAAGAAAAGTAAGCAAAACCTCACAATCTGTACGACCCTTGCCAAACCCATCCCAAGGCCTATCATGCAACAGGTAAATCAAGAAACACTAATAATATTTAACATGTCAAGGTTTGAACCTTGGATCAAATGTATCAAATGTGTAATTCCACACCGCAACGACAAGCATCCCACCAAGGAAACTCCAATACCTATTTATACTAACAGACAATGTGCTAAAATGTTATTTTCACCATAAAACAGTAACTAACAACTATATGTCAGTTTAACAAAAATAAATAAATCATAAAATGGCATTCCAACGACTATTTACGCAAACCAGATTGCAACCGATTCCACCCAAACCAAATCCAAACTAGTTCCAACGGTCCAACAATTACTTTGATTCCAACCAATCGGTTTGGCTCTAATCGGCTCTGATTATACATAAACTGATTTCTACTTGAATCATTTTTTTTCTCCACAAACCGATTATTTTGCGATCCCTCCACGTTAACATGTCAACAAGTAAATAAGATTTTGGTGGGATGTTAAGTCCACCAAGCAAATTACATCGTTTGCTTGCAAATAAAACGTAATATAATGGTAAAAAGGGGTATCGATCATCGGGAAAATTGTTGTATTCAATCACCAATGCAATCCAATAGAACTAGTGTAATAAAACAAATTAACTACAATTAAACTAAAAGGGGGGGGGGGGAGGGGTTGTGATTGTTTGAAAACTAAAAGACTTGAAGAACTAAAATACTTGCAATTAAGCAAGATGGTGAGATGCTCAAATATTGGAGAGAATTGGTCAACCAAGGCAATTCAACACAATGAACATTTGTGTGTTTAACATTAGGATTCAATATGTAAGCTTATTATTCATCCCAAATTGGTTATAGCAATCATGAAGCATGATATGCCAAGATTCCTCAATGGTAGTATGGAGGTTGGGGAAGCCCACAACACATCTTCTTAATTTAAATCAATGATTTAATTGAAGCAATTGAACCCAAGAAAATTGATTAGGATTAAGAATGAAGGAATCCCTAGTTCCTGGAGGATGTCAATGCTTACACATCCATAAAGGAGTCATGATAAATAAGTCAGACATGATTTCTACCATCATAAAGCCATTGTTCTAAGCAAATTCAATGATTCAATGTTAAATCAAAGAAATAAACAAATAATTGCTCATTCAAATACCAAGCTCATGATCAAAGTATTAAACAATCATAAGAATTATGAACTAAGGATCAATAACATAAGATAAATGATAATCAAACACGAATCCTTCAAAACCTACAAATATCCAAGGGTTTTAGTCAAAGTCAACCAAAATAAAGAGATTAGCCACTCATGGAAACAAGACAACAATTACCAAAGTGTTTTTGCATCAAGAAATTAGCAATTATTAGAAGGATGGGAAGAATGTAGCTCTAAATCTCCAAAACACCTCCAAGGTGCTCTAATGGTGGAAAAATCGAAGTGTGGATGCCAAACTTACCCCCCACCCCCAAGATAAATGATGAGCAAAATGACCAAATTCCCCAAAGTGTGTGGTTGCGCAGGTACCCTCGCAAGTTTGCGCGACTGAGACCCCACCCTCGCAAATGGGGCTGAAACACTATTGGCTCTTTTTCTCCACTACTCCACCCCACTACTCAAGATTCCCTTGGTCCCCTCCACACCTCACTTGATTTAAATTTAACCATTTATCTTCAAGCTTTAAATGGATAGCCTAAACCTAATAACAAGAGTCTTCATAAGCTCACTTCATCCAAGTCTTCAGCATTTTAAGCCCAATTCTTCTTTGATGGATCCATAAAGCCCAATAACTCTTCGTAAGCCCACCAAGCCCATCTCCAAGCTAAACCGCAACCACTTCGAGACTCCAAAGCCTGCAAAAACACCTCATGCAAAATAGAAAGTACCCTATATGATCCAAGATATAGAATGAGATAGAATATACAATACAATACTAATAAAAGGGCTAAAAAACTAAAAGAAACTATAAAAAAGGAAATAAAATAAACTATCAAATCACCACAAGCTTAAACTTTACTTGTGCTCAAGTAAGAACAAGACTAAAATGAACTCGGGATGAGCTAAGCTAAAAAGGAAAAAAGAAAGATACTATAGAACTTAGTACATCAGTCAACATGGTCAGAATCAATCGTGTATGGACCCTACGCATCTTCCAAATGTTCCCCACTTTAGAGCCATAAGCCACATTCTCGAACAACTTGAAGGGCGAATAGATCTCGTTTGAAGGTGGCAGCTAGTAGAGTGTACAAGACAAGGGAAAGATGGGGATGCGCCTAACGGGGAACTATACAAGAATGCATACCATAATGCATGAAGGAAAGGCACCTCTTCATACACAATGATTTCTACATTGGTCAGACTAAGTGTATCATAACGAAATAGGGTTTTATAGCACGACATCCGGGAAAACATCTGGTTTCGGGGGTTTCTCCCTTGTACTATCCTTTACATTCTATTGTCTCACCTTCATTTCATTTTCCCACCAAAATCAAAAATAAAATAAAAGAAAAAGAAAAGCAACTCTATCTAAGAAATAAACACAAGACATCCTAAATCTTCATTCTTGAACTTCTGTTATTCGGTTTTCAATCTCTTAGCTTCTCAATCTTCTATCTTCTTATTTCTCTCATTTTTTATTTTCTTTTATTTTATTATTTTTTTTAGATTTTTGTAAAAGAGAATG